CTCTTAAAAAAATCCTTAAATCATTAAAATAATAACATTAAAATGTATATTACGTATTTATTAATTTTAAAATGTTGTAACATGGCATGGAAGAAATGATTTTTGTCTTTAATTGTTTTTAGCCAATGGAGCCTCAAAATTGTATAAATTTAAATTATAGATAAAAAATCATTTTGAAGATCAATATAATTGCATAGGGTTTAATTTATGTGAATCGAAAAAATATATATATATTTTTTTTTTAAATTAAGGGTTCATAATTTTTTATTTATTTTTTAAACCGAAATATCATATTTTATTTTCCCCAAAATTTTAAGTTAAAATTCAAATCTTACCTTATTTTTTAACAAATTTTGGTTAATAATTTTTTTTTCAAAATAAAGGTCTAATAAATAAGGTTTAACCAGAACCAAAAAAAACAAGGCCACAGCATCAATAAACGACTACAGATTAACAACAATTAAATCATAAATAATACCAATTAATCAACAGAAAAATTAACCAATAACAAAGCAGTTGAGCCACCAACAACAACAATATATTCAAACAACTGTCACATTCACAGCATCTAAAACCATATAATATCAAATAATGTGTCAAGTAAAACCTTTTTAGCATAAATGTCAGATATTAATCATCATCATCGTCATAATAATAATAATTTGAATCAGAAAACTAAGTGAAACTATGGTAATGATACCTTTTTTATTAATTTATCTTATTTATTTCTATTAATATTTTCCAAGTATTTATATAAATATGTTTCTTTTATTAGATAGATGATGATGGGAACATGCCAATAAACTGTGAAAATTATAAATATATAATTATATATTCTTTAGGTGATTTTGAAGTTTTTTTTTTAAAAAAAATGGTTATACCATTTATTCTGTTTCATTTTTTTTTCTCTCATTATAAAATATATGCAGAATTTCATTCATTATTTTGTCATTAAATTTCTTGATAAAAATTATTAAAAATCGTGAAGAATTTATTTTATTTGATTATTGAACTATTTAATTTATTTAATTAATAATTCATAATTTAAAATTTTACTATTTTTTGAATTTTGCTTTTTATTTTCTTTTCCTTTCTTATTTTGCTTTCTTCTCATTGTTTCAGAATTTTCAGAAGTGCTTTCACCCAAGAAGCCTATTGTGCATTTAGAGACAATTATTTGTTTAAAATCACTGAAATATTATTATCATTAATGATGCAATTATTAATAATCTTGATTTATAATATATTTATTATAGATGGTAATAGTACATGAATATAATACAAAAAATTTATAAATGAAAATTAAAGCAAAAAATTTAGACTATATTGGGATATAAAATATTTTTTGGTTCATTAAATTTAAATATTAAAGCAAAATTTTGAGAGTAAAATTATTGGAATCATAGAGAATCTTCAAAATATGAGCAATAGTAGAATTATAATTCAAAATTTTACAACTTTTTGATCTATCAATCAAATAAATAAAGATACTGCACTGTGTAATTTTTCTAAGGATATTCAGGAAATTCGGATTGATAATGATTTTTAGTTGTAATTTAATTTGAATAGGGAAGCAGTTTCTTTTGAAATTGGATCACTTAATATGACATTTGGAAAAGTTTGATGATAGTGTCATGAATATTGACATTTATTAGAAGTAATGATGAATTTATTTTATTTTATTTATTGTTATACATAGTTTAAAATTTATTATTAATATTTTAAATAATTTTTTGATTTTATTTTTATTATGTTTATTATGTTATGTAAAAATTGTTACTATGTTTCTTATTGTTATCCCTTTATTTATATTTTTACCAGTTATAGTATCAATGGGATTTTAGAAATCAGTTAAGTATTTTATTATCCCTTTTATTACTACAATATCTTATTTTTCTTTTCAATCAATTAAGGACATTATTTTATCATCCACTCAATCTTTTGTTGAGATATTATTTTCGTGTTCAAACAACACATTTTGCTTTCTTGTCATTAGAATGTACATTTGTTTTGTGCATTATGCATTATTTAGTTTTAGAACAATAGGATTGCTCTAAGTTTTATATGATAATCCAATTTTGTTATTTAATTCCTATAAATATTATATGTATAAATCCTTTTATCTAATAGATGAATAAAAGTTGGACATATGCCTTGTGAGTTCAAAATCTACCATATTTAATTATATGAATAATAAAGGTATGTAATGGGAATATTTTTTAATAATAAATCAATTATATGTTGCTTTTTTTGTGGGATTTTACTCTAGATAACATCCTTAAAATAGAAATCTATGATATTTTCTTTATAATTAGGTTATTAATTGACTAACTAGTTTTAAGAGATCTTTAAAAATATATTCATACTTTAGATCTTGAAAAGACTCTACAGCCCATTGGAAATTATTATATTGCAATGTTAACACTGAACTATTACAAAACAAATTTGTTCATTTTCAACTGAGTTTGGTTTTTGAATCATTATAATATTAGGTACTGTAAGTGCTATAGCTTTATACTCTAATTATTGAATCTCCCTAGAAATTGTTGTTGCTCATATTCTGAAAAACAGGATAAATTCTTAATAAATTTTTATCCTATGAGAAATTAACATCCAATTAATTTTCAACAATTATTAAAAAAAAGATTTAATGGAGAAAAATGAGCATTGATATCAGTAGATAAATATACAATTTTGTTCTTTATTTATAAATTGCTTATTTGATATTAAAAAATCACTTATTACATGCAAACAAATAATTCTAATTTTGGTTTGATTTTATTCCATTTCTATATTTTTATTAATATTGCAATATAAAATATGATAATAAACCTTTTTTTAATTATATAATCAGTTATTGTGAGCTATTAATTTATTTAATAATTATATTCTTACATTTTTAGTTCATTTTATTTGTATTGGATATTTGTAAACTCATTTAATGATAAATTTGAATATAAAAAAAGTATAATAGCTCATTTGATACATGCTAAAATAATTGTGTATTTTACTTTACTTTAAATCTAATTTTGGATACCATTATTTCTTGCTATATAAATATTTCGTGGAGAGATATGCTATAACGTACTAAAATAATCCAAAAAATCCTAAATAATTTAATAATTATAGATTTGTTTTACAATGATTCAATTTGACATTCAAGTATACAAGAATAGAGAATGAAACAATTTGGAATGGAAGAAATGATTTTTTATTTTTAAGAATTGTCACACAAAAAGATAAGTTTTCAAAGTAATCAATATGTAATATTTGCATCAGTATCTGGAGTTGAAAATTCAAAGTAACTATAATTTAAATAGTCAATTATAATATTTAAACATGAAAATATGTTCTGATTTATAAAATTTTTTTAATTTAGAAATTTGAAACTTGAACTATAATAAAGCAAATATTTGATGAACTGACTATTGAAGAATATTGAAAGATAGTTATTCAATTAGAATAAAATGTCTTGAAGATTAGATTTATTATGATGCAGTCTTTAATTGAGATTTCTACTATCAAGTATTTTTTAGAGGAACTAAGTTTCTGATTGAAAATAACAATATGCATATTGATGTTCAGTAAGAATTATTTGTGCTAACTATGCATTTCTCTGATTTTGAAAATTTAGGTAAGGCACTGGATTATAATTTATTTTTTTATGTTATATTGGTTTATTTTATAAGTGTCCAATTTCTTTTCTCACACCATTGAGATCATTTAATTACAAGTTACTTGAGATTTTTGCACTTTTCTTTCACAATCAAAAACAATTTCTTAGTTATGTTAAATTTAGTAATACTGCCAATAAATATGATGCCACTTCAGGAGATTTGATGATACTGATCATGCATGCTAAACTATTATCATTTAAATAAAGATACATCCACAGTTGATATTTCAATATATCTGTCAAAGGCTGATTTTGTTACATTTTATTTCTGATTATAATAAATAAGAATCTATAAACTTTAACTACAAAAATGATAATGCATTTGATATTTGAGTGCATCAATTAAATAGATGCAACCATACCATGTTTAAATGAAGTTATTAAAATATTGATATTTCATTTATCATTGATATACAAAGAACTAATTTAATATAAAATAATTATCCTGTCATTGATCTACATCTAGTTGTTAATATTTTATTATTGTTTCACAATAAATTTTGACTTCTTTTAAAAAAAAAATAATTTATGCCATATCTGAAATAACCAGCAATCTTACAGCCAAATATTTCATTTATAGAATTTTAAAAAATTATATATGCTTATCAATTATTTTATCTTATTCACTAATTATGAAACTTTATTATTATTTTTTTATTTTACTAAGCTATAAATTAAATTAAAATTGTTTCTCAAAGTAACTTATTACTATGGTATCTCATTTTTTATAATTATAAAAAATACCATGTTTGGTTGATGAGACTTTATTATATCAAGCATTTGCTTTTTATTTTAAATTTCATTTCATAAATTTTGATAAATCTTGCTCAGATAAATATTATTTTATCAAAGAGAGTCTGGATTGTAAAATAAATTGATAAAAAGATATTTTACTTTAATAGATTATTTAGGATTAAATCATAAAAAGCAAAAATTAAATTAAATATATATTTTAAGTATATTTGCTTTAGCAGAAATGAAATCTTTGTTTAACATTAAAATATGTATGTGAAAGTTCCATGAGCAAGCAATCACTCCTTTAAAATACATTTTAACATGCTTACATATTTTTAATTGGATTCCTGACCCTATGAACTTCATTTAAAATTGTTTAAAAATGCTAATTTTTCGCACCTGGTTTAATTAAATAGATAGAAACAAATAGTAACAATGGAAAAGCTTTGAAAGAGATAAAATTTTAATCTATCATCATTAAATAATGCATCTTATGATATCACTCTGAAAATTTTTGCTTTTTAACAAAAATAAGTGTCATAATAATGGCATAATTTCTTTTGGTCACAACATATGAATTTAAACTATTTTAAATCATTAATGCTTGATGCATTGATGTTTTAAGATATTCTTCATTGTACTCTAAAGACTGTAAAACTAATATTGTTTGATCTTGTTGCTGTAAATAAAGTATGAATTTTGTAAATAAAATATCATTATGAGGATGGTTTTAAAATTTTCAAATAAATTCATAAAATTATATAGCTTCATATAGATTCTAGGTATTTTTTTATGGTTCAACCTTGCATGTTGTCTCTATACACTCACTTTCCATCGTACTGCTGCTGCAGGATCATTGGGTCTAATTTTTGTGAGTTTCTCTCTTAAGGCTTTTGGGCAGTGTATTACAATTTAAATAAATAAAATAATAAGAATATGGTTTAGCATATAAAATTTTTCTGTACATATTCACTCAATGTTTGCTCTCTAGTAAAAACAATTTTAATGGAACCAGAATAGTTTGAAATTGTTAAATAACCAATTTCTTTTATTCTTTATTTCTTAAGTTAAAAAAAATAATAAGTACTGCATGTTTGTTTAATTGAATAATTGTTTAATTAAAATGACAATAATTTTTAGCAAAACTAACTATACCAAAAATTTCAAATTCCATTTTTTGCAACCCACATTTTTGTTTGCTTACTAGCTTATAAATATTAGAAAGAAATGAGAGTTTGTTTTGTGTCTTTTATATCCTCTGGGTTTGTTTTAGAAAAATTTAATTGCTCATTTTTTATTTTATATTATCTTTATTCAAATTGACTGTTATTTAATTGAAAATTATCTATATATTTAAGTTATTCATTAATTAAACATATTTCTAAGTTATAGTACTTAACTTTTACTCTAAGTAAATTTGGAGTTCTCAATTATTTTTACAAGTCTGTAATATTGCAGATTTTTTGAATGGAATTGTAATATAAATCTGCAATTCAGAAATAAATTTTGGACTTTAGTGAAAATGTTTTCATTTTTGGAATCTATATTTCTGGCTTCAAAATGAAATTTTTTTTTATTAATCAGACATCTCTACACCAAGTGTTAACTATAACAGTTTATTTAATTAATAAGAAAAATTATATTTAAATAAGAAGTGATTTCACTAACTTGTAATCCAATTTTGTGATTTATAGTTCATTGGATTCCTCTTATAAAGGTGAACATTTTGTCAGTTGTTTCATCCCAAATTGGATAGTCCTACACAAAGTTATTAATTAAAAACCTTGTTTAGAATCTATTATAATTTTTTAATTTTCAGATTATATAGAGAAATTTCACTAACCCATGATCTAATTTTTATGATCTATAGCTCATTAGATTTTTTTTCATTGAGGCTAACATTTTTGTATTTGTTTCATTTAAATCAGAAATCTCTTCACATGTTTCTTAATCAAATAGTCTGTTGATAAGATAAATTATAAATTTATAATTATTAAAATTATATGAATGTTTGACAAGAATGCAAATCACAAGGTTTGTAATATTATAGAATAATTGTTGAATTGCAGACATGTGGTATAATGAGAACTTGCAAATAATTGGGAATTGTGGAATTGCAGATTTTTAATCACTTAAAATCTGTAATAGTTATGACACAGGCAGTGATAACATAATCTGTGATTTGTAATTATGGGTACCATCTTTAACTATAAGATAAATAACATCCCTAAATTCAATATAATTTTATAATAACATGCCCTAATAAGTAACATGAGAAATTTTATATAATGTCATTTAATTGCTACAAGGATTATATGTCTAAGTTCTTTGAAAAGAGTGGAATATTAATCCTTATTTCATTGACCTGATATTAATCGAGGAAAGTTAATTGAAATATTAATATGATTACTTGAAGTGAATTGTGATTTTTTATTTCTTTTAAATTAAATTAATAAAATATTTAATTCTTGAGATTACTTTATGATAGTTTCATAAGTTAATTGAAGTATGTGTTTTTTTGTTTATTTGCCATATCATAATGAGATTATAAAATATGCAACTTTTTTAAATCTAGTATTCTTTAATTAGGTTAATAACTAATAGATAAATAATAACTTATTACTCACACAAGTATCAATGGAAATTTGAACTTTAATTAATAGCGCATTTCAGTCAAGGAAATATACCCTGCAACTAATAATGACTCATTCCTGGATAATAATTTGTCATAAGACTATCTCTTGGGAGATATTAACTTCAATTATTCTTTCATTGCTAATGAGTATTCATAAATACTAAAATTAAATAAATAAATGTATAAGGTAGAATGTTTTTTTATAATATTAAAATTTGAATTTAACAACCATAGGTCAATACAAAAAATACAAAAAATATTTAAGTATGGTTTGTCAGTCTTAAATTTTCATGTCTTGTGAAAAAATTCACTTTAAATTTAGATTCAATATTTATTTTTTCTATTTATTTTATTCTATTTGTTTTATTCTATTTATTTTATCCTATGATAATAATTTCATTTGTCTTGGTTCATATCACTTTTTTCATTAAATATTCTGGTCCTTTTAGATTTCTGATTTAGATCGAGAAAAATAAATTATTTGATAATTTCAACTATAAAAATATGTCTCTATTTTAAAAATTAATTAAATATAAAAGTATTTTTTTTGTTTTATTTTATAAATAAAGAAAAAATTTATTTTAAATTTTAATATTATTTGTATAATTCATTTTTTATAATTACCTATTTCCTAATCAATTATTTGTTTTTTAAGTCAGTTTCTTTTGAGGTTCAAATTTATATAAAAAAAATATCTCAAGATAATCACTTTGACTTCAGCAAGTGAATTAATTGAAACGCAACTGTACTCATGATGTTGATGTATTAATTATATCTTGTGTTACTTTAGCTTTATTTTTTTATCATCTCTACAATTCTCTATGCGGATACTTTTTATATAATTTTAGTAAATAATATTTTAGTTTGTTCACCGCGAAAGATATAATCTTAAATAGTGTTTCATCAATTGTCCACTGAGACTATGCCTAGCTTATTCTATAATATTTTGACTCGTATTATTCATATCCAGGCGATTTACCTTGAAAAGTAAATTCTGATATCAAATTATTCATTGATAAACGAAATTGAACTTTACTTTACATGCTATTAATCGAATGGAAAATGTCTAATGCATGCTTGGAATACAATTAAGAATACAATCAATGTAGCGGGTGATGCATTCCTTGTGGCTTAACACATTTTAAAAATTATTTTGATAAATGGAAAGTGGAAATGCCACAATAGGGAAATCTTTTCAAGATGTTCAATTAAATGCTGATGATCATGGTAAAATAATAGATTGGATACCTTATGATAGATATCAAGATATTAATTAAATGGCAAGAGGTAAAGTTTATTTTGCTAATGATGGATGAATTTATGATTGTTTATCGAAATTCAACAATGGAAGGAGGAGAAGCAAAGTGCAATAGAAAAAAGAATTAATGATATAAAAGATATAAATAAAAATAGTAGAGTAATATTTTAAATTGATACGAAAATTTATTTGAAATTTGAAATATCGATATTTTAATTAGATCGAGAACGAATAAAGGAACGCCATCATCAATTGCACTTTATGTAATGACAAAGATCTAGAAACTCTCGAATATATAGAAATTATTTAAGTAAAATTTTAATAATATCGCTTAGGATAATAAAATACAATATTTGTTTTATTAGCTTATAAACTTTCAGAAGTTTAAATTTAGGATAATAAAATATGGTTCTTATCTCATATTGGCGTCAGATTTTGGATCGAATAAATTAATTGTAGAAAACAAAAAAATCCGGAATGGGAGAATTGATGTTTATTCATTTGCACTTTGCTTATGAAATAAGATAAAGATTTGGCTTTTAAAATATGTAATGGATTTCGACCAAAAACCACACACCCAAATTAATTACACGAATCAATATACTAATGATGGGATGCTCGAATTACACATGGATCCTTTTAATGAATTAAAGAATTCTCCAAAAATTAAATAACAACTGATACGACAATAACTGCAACAACAACAAATTATTAAACTTATCCACAAGCAATTAATAAAAGAAGGCTTCCCAATTTTTCAAATCTTCTAAAATCAAAAGTGAGGAAATTAGGAAATCTTGAACAATTAAAAGATTCTTTTTATTAAATATGTTCATTTCATAATTATTTATTTTTATTTGATCTTTTTTTTATTTATTTATTAATTAGGCGATGATGATTTGGGATATGTCTAATTTATAAATTTTATTTTAGGTTAATTTTTATTAATTAAATATTTCAAATTTTATATTACAGACGAGTGGATTTCATGTCTATGCTTCGATTTCCAACACGGCATAACATTAAAATTTTATATATAATTTATAAATTACATTAATCTGTATAGATTTTGCCAAAATTTTATATATACATTTCTTTATGAATATTTGTCCATAAATGAATAAATTAAGAATATGTTATGGAATGTTCGTCCTATGAATAATTAATGTAAAATTTATTATTGTGGTTCTTACTCTATCATAACTTATTTAATACAACTTCTAGACATCTATTCTAGGAAATCTACTATAGATTGCATTTTTAGAGAATAAAGTAAAGCTGGAAGTAGATTAATGGATAAGTACGTGTAGAAGGTGTTTCCTATATCAAAGGTAAGCGAAAAAAGGCAGGAAAGAAATTTAGTGATGTTTCATTATTTAATATAATATATATCTAAAGAATAGAATCAATCAATTCAATTAATAATCCAATACTAGAAAATGGAATATTAAATAAATTACGGACTTCAGCACCAAAAAAAGAGAGATGCGACTGATTTTAGAATTTATCTAATAATAATAGATGAAGTATAATTAACTTATTGTGATAATGTTATACAAAATTCCATTTTGACGATTGAGACTTTTTTACTTTTCTTGCCATTTCTGTCTTCGAAATTCGGGGAAATTGACTTTTACAGCATTGTGATTTGTTATTCTTTACTTAATTCTATATGTAATGTCATTAAAATTTTATCATCAAAACGTAAATTCAGATAAAATTTATTTATTAAAAAAATAGACCTCTGCTACAAGTAAACAAAAAAGGCAACAAAAAATAGGCCCATATGTAATCAATAATACAATACTTTTCCGTGCAAACAGTACAATCGATGCTTTTCAGGAATAATTTTGATAAATGGACGAATTGAAATGATACTGTGGGTGCACGAATTCCACATGGGATGTGCACGGGATTTCGAAGTGTTGTGAGTGTCACGGGAGATGACAGTAAGATGACAGTGTAACCAGGATGAGTGTGTTACCATTGTGGTGACGACGAAAGATTGGTAAGGTGGTACGAAGATAGCAGCGCAGAAAACATGTGGTATGGGAACACAAAT